GGAAGGCGGTTCTCAAGTCAAAAAGTTCTCAAGTCAAATCTGCATTTCCCATAGGAATGCATTGAAAACCATTTGATCCGTATCTGCTCTTTTCTGTCCATAGAAACTAATGGGAAGCTGCTATTCCGCCTTCGACCACTAGAGGGGGATATTTTGTTTCTTTTTTTCTTCGGTCAAAAAAGGTTCAGGGAAGGCAGGGAAAATACAGTCCAGGCAGTACCAGGCAGTCCGAAGACTGTCTCCCAATCCACTCTCTAAACGCTGGGAGGAGTGAGGAAGCAGACAGGCACCTTTTTCACTGGCCAACAGTTAACTGAAAGTTCACATTTTGCACTTTTCCTGCCTCCCATGTGGTTTTTTTTCAGTTCTTAACTCAAATCTAAGTATGTAAGTCAAGTCAATATTTTCCTATGAGAGCGGTTCTTAAGTCAAAATGTTCTTAACTCAAGCCGTTCTTAAGTCAAGACCCCACTGTACCATTATTTTCAGGATTTCTCTTTATAGGACTATGGTGTTAATGAGATGATGAGAGGAGAAATTATGGCTGGGCTGAAGAGCAATGAGAACAGACTTGGGGAGGGAAAAGCTGGATGCTGAAAGATGTGTTGGAGGACGGAGATACCTGAGGGGTAGTTTGTACAGTATTCTTCTACTTTTATAGCATAAAAAAAATTACCAATGAAAACAGAATGATGTGTAATTAGTTTAGGTAGATCTAACAATCTGGTAGGCAACATATAATAACTGCATGCCACCAGGTTGATTCTGACATATGGTGACCCATTTTGGGGTTTTCTAAGTATCACATACTCGTAACTGGTTTGCCATTTCTTTCTTCTGGGGGGGGCGCCCTGGGACTGTGCAGAATGCTTAAGGCCACACAGTCGGGCTGCTCTCTCACAATGTCCAGTGGGAAACTGAACTGTCAACTTCCAGCTCCCTGCTCAGACTCCTAACTCATGGAGCTATCCAGCTAGCATGCACAATATAAACACACACATGATTTCTTGTTTCAGGAGTCTTGAAAGGATTTTTGTACATCATGTTATGTGTGTATATTCTGACCCATAGGAACTGTCCTATCAAAGTCTGATGTTATTCTATCCATTAGGCAGATGTCCGGGGACAAATGCAGGTGTTCTCCATTTGCACAGATGTTCCCTGTCAGGAAACCCAGCACAGAGCTGATCAATGCACTGTTATGTTTCTCTTTACACACTTTTTCACATTTTACAATACAGACTTCCGATCAAAAGTATATCCAAATGCAATGGAATGTATGTTTTAGGCTTAAATAGTGCAATCTCTCCCTTCCCCACCCCCCATATTAGAATTACATGTTATCTGAGGATAAATCTTTTAAAGGCACTGTAAGAACTTGTTTTGTTTTTATGTATATATTAGCATAAATGTATACCAAACATGCATTTTAGCATAAAATGTTAGCAAAAAACAGGCTTGGTGGAAAAAGTATTAAAATCATGCACAATTTTCTGTATTAAAAAGTAGATTGATATGGAATAGTAGGAAATGGACTTACAGATGAAAATATGACTCTCTCCTTCCTGGCAACATGTATACTCCTGAGTAGGTGTACCTCGTCTGTCTTAGAGCTCTTTATTTGGAAAATTGTTGCTCCAGCACCCTAAAAACTAGCAGATAATTTTATTTTATTTTTCTTACTACCACATCGCCCTCTTTCCTTCCTTCCTTCTTTTTAAAGTGCATTCTTTTTCCTTCATATAAATGGCTTGGAAAACCCTCAGCATATGTTTAAGAACATTCTTTGTACACCATACAACGTTAAATCAGTGCCTGTCCTTATCACAATAACAAACAATTGTTTTAATTGTGTGGATCATTAGCATCGAATGCTGCCTGGTTACCTTTTACTTGTAAGGTCAGAGGATCTGATCCGAGTCGCAGGAGGTGATCCTAAGTTGTAAGTGAGGTCACTTCTTCCAATATATCCTTGCAGTCCCGCCCGTAACTTGCAGGATTGCAACCTGATTCTCCATTCTGATTAACTTGAGATGAAGGCCAGTTTGTGTGCTGTCTGTTTCTATGGGATGCCCATTGTGCATGGATGCAGATCTTTCTACAACCAGCAGGAATGACTGATTGACTGGGGAATGGGTGCATCCACTCAGAGTTTTGAGGGGGGGGGAATATCCCCTGTCCTGGTGCACAGGTTATCTGTGCACACTGGCCAGTCTCTGAATGGCTAGCAATAGCTCGCTGGCACATGCAGAGGCACAGAACTATGTGCTCTTAAATAGCTCATTTAGGGAGGCTTTTCAGCACTGCGCAGCTGTGCCATGTGCTACATTGAAGGGGCTCAAAGGGCACTTTCTTATGACTGCTCCTTTTTCTCCTTGTTTCTTTGTGACAAGAGGTTGGATGCCGTCGTGCCCATTTTGATTTTGGATGGGGCACTGCCTTTGGCTCGCAGTCTAAGCCTGCTAAATTTCAACCACCGGTTCTGTAAATGGACAACTTCATGCACATGGCAGGACTCTGTGCACGTTACTTGTGAGCATGCTGCTTGGAGTAGTCCATGCTCAAAACTGCCAGGTTCTGTGTGTTGCGTTGGCGGCAGCAGACCCTTGGTCCACTCCGTGACAACTGCACTAGACCTGGTTTTGGAAGTCATGACAGTGTCTGTGGTTTCTTGGCACAAGGGCAGGACTGCCTCTCTGAGCAGGATCTCTGAGGACAGGGCATCTTGGAGGTCCCTCAAGTCCACTTAACAGCACCCAAGAACAACAACAGGATTGCTTTCTTACCCGCTGCTGCCCTGGTTCTTTGGCAGCAGGGAGGTGTCGGCACAAAGGCGCAAAGGGGGGGGGCGTCACAGACAACTTATAGGTCACCCAGTTCTGTTCAGAGTACTATTGATTTTAATGGGCGTTTCATATCCATAGATGCATTTTTGGTTAGGGATGGGGAAAGACCTGTAATAGATTAAGCCTCTTGATATCTTACATCATCGCTTTAGCACAATGAACAGATCTGCTCTGGAACCAATGAAGAGCTTAAGGTCCCCTAATCCAGGGCTCCCCCAGAAGTGACTAGTCCACCTAAGATAAGGTGGTGATCTGTCAAGGAACAACCCCACTGAAGAAGGGAGATAACAGTGGTTACCCAAACCTCATTGCTGGTCGCAAAGGGTTCCCCACAACAGTTCAGGCTTCAGGGCCCCCAAAAAGTGTAGGTCCACTACTGCTTTAGCATAAGAACGCACACATTTCTAGGTTACACAGAGGTTTTCATCAGTTTTCAATGTGCCCGATGAAGTGTTCTGTGCAGACAGAAAGCTCGTTTTTTCCCGTTTCTTTCTTGCCCCCTAAGTGCTGCTCCCATTAAACAGCAACACGTTCTTCTTCTTTCCTATCTAGTCTCCAGTTGTCTTCAACCATCCCTTTATTTTGAATGTTTCCAAGCTTGGTCTTACCCCAGAGGTAAATTTGTTTATTGCACTGCTGGCAAGTTTTAAGTGAAACCCCTTCCAGGGTGTTACAGCAAATAACGTGTCTCCTGCCAGCCTTTTAAGTGTTATTTGTGTCTCTCTCTTTGTGTGGGTGGTGTTTGGAGCTCGGGATTTTGTTTTACTGTTGGAGAAAACTGTTAAGCATCGGAGCTATCACTCCCTCCCCGCCGCGCCGCCTTTTTCCCAACAGCCCCGTTCCTTGGACATGACTGTGAATGTTGATTTATTTGTATGTGTGTGTGAGTGTGAGCGAGTGTGTCTACATCGGAAATAAATGTCCTGTAGATGCAACGACATCTTGCCAGGGCAGCCGCCTAAAGATCGCAGATTCAAGCGGCCCAACAGGCGGTGTTAAGAAGCGCCTCTCCGCCGCCGCAACAGCCGAGATTCCCAGGGAAAGAGACGCGAGCAGGGGCGGCGGGAGGAGGCGAGAGGAGCCCCGGACTTGTTGCTCTCCGCCACGGGCGAGGCGTCGCGGGCGGAGCCCGGAGAGTGAGCCTTCCTTCGGCTCGGGGAGAGTTCTCGCCACGGTCCCCGTTGGATCGGCCCGAGGATCGAGGAAGGGCTTCGCCCTCTGCGTGGATCCGGCGGGTCCCCCCCTCTCTCCCTCCCTCCCTCCTTCTTTCCTTGGCTGGATCGCAGCCGAAGGTCTGAACGGGGGGGCTGCTCGGCGTTTGCGCGGGCTGCCGCTCTCCACCGTCGCCGGCTGGCAGGCGGGCGGGGGCTCTCGGTGTGTTTTGTTTAAATGGGGAACATCGAAGGGGCGGGCCCTGGGCGAGCGTGTAATCGGATAGCTCTGCCTTTCTGTCTGACATCCACATGCTGCTCTGCCTGAAAAGGCGGCGAGGGAGCCGAGAGGGAGGCAAAGGAAGGGAAGAAGGCAAGGCGCCCGCTCCGCACCTCCGCCCGCGCATCTGCCGAGGCGAGGAGGAGCGCCACGCCGAGCGAGCGAGCGAGCAAGGAAGGAAGGGCGGCCGGAGGCACACAGCCCAGGCGGCGGCGGCGGCTCGGGGCAAAACTCGCTCACAGCCCCGCGATCCGGGGTGGTGGTGACAGAGACCACCGCGCCTGAGGTAGCGGCGGCGGC